ATTCCCCAAGGCACTATGACCCCGACAGGCTTAGTGCTCCCAATGTGAATGTCGTCTAATCATAGGTGTGTGCCTATTGTGTACTAAACCTAACTTTTTTTTCTGTGCATTTGTGGCCACAGTGGGGCCCATGCTAACCACCATCAACCTAACTTAATATTTATAAGTAAAATATTATATATTATTATTACTATTATTATTATCTGGGGGATTGGTAAACTGCAAGAGGTCATATAATGCCTGGAGAGGATGAGTATAATTCCATGTATGGACATTAGCAGCATCCATGCACCTCCCTTGATGGGTATGCTGTATTTATGGGGAAGCACTAAACCCATAGGAGTCACACAGCACCCAGGGGAAATGGAGGCATTCAGGTTCGATTCAAGGAACTGGAGCACCGGTTCAATTCCTTAGATCAAGGGCCCTTCACCATCATCAGTAATTATTATAATCATGGGCGAACGCTAAACCCGTAGGATTATACAGTGCACGTGAAGCGGGGGGATGGAAAGTATTCAGGCTTAATTCAGGGAACTGGAGCACATTCAATTTCCTAGATCAAGAGCCCCTCACCAGCATCAAGGAACCTCCTTTGAGGGGCCACCACCATCAAGGAACCTTGAGGGGTCCCTCGATGAGTATTGTGTAAGTATATTTAGGCACAGGTACACATAAATACTACAGCACCTTTCAAGGCAGGTGAAATTGCTGACCTAGAAAATGTACAGAGAACCTTCACGGCGCGCATAACGGAGATAAAACACCTCAGTTACTGGGAGCGCTTGAGGTTCCTAAAACTGTATTCCCTGGAATGCAGGCGGGAGAGATACATGATTATATACACCTGGAAAATCCTAGAGGGACTAGTACCGAACTTGCACACGAAAATCACTCACTACGAAAGCAAAAGACTTGGCAGACGATGCAACATCCCCCCAATGAAGAGCAGGGGTGTCACTAGCACGTTAAGAGACCATACAATAAGTGTCAGGGGCCCGAGACTGTTCAACTGCCTCCCAGCATACATAAGGGGGATTACCAACAGACCCCTGGCAGTCTTCAAGCTGGCACTGGACAAGCACCTAAAGTCGGTTCCTGACCAGCCGGGCTGTGGCTCGTACGTTGGTTTGCGTGCAGCCAGCAGCAACAGCCTGGTTGATCAGGCTCTGATCCACCAGGAGGCCTGGTCACAGACCGGGCCGCGGGGGCGTTGACCCCCGGAACTCTCTCCAGGTAAACTCCAGGTAATAACCCCCAAAAAGCATGTAATTCGTCCGGTATAGAATGTAAATCATACATTGTCTAGTAGCTAGTTCAACATTTTTATTATGCACCCCACACCCATCCTGTGGCTATCTATCACATTTTGCTCATTGAACGTTATGTAACAATATTATTACAATCATAACTAAGTGCTAAACCCACAATTATATATTACAATAGTATTAACCTTGAGGGTGCTAACAGCCCTGGATAGTTCAAGAAAGTCAGAGAAAACAAATATTTTCTTGTCACCATAACAGCGCTATATGACCCTTGTGGGTTTAGCGTTAGTTATTATAATAATAATTGTCCCCGTGATTAAATTTTATAGAGTCAAAGCCAGGATAAATCAATAATCAAACACCTTGATACCTCAAAGGCAATGGGACTGGACATCTCCCCATGGGTCCTTAGAGAGGGAGCAGAAATGCTGTGTGTGCCACTAACCACAATCTTCAACACATCCCTTGAAACTGGGCAACTACCTGAGGTATGGAAGACAGCAAATGTAGTTCCCATTTTTAAAAAAGGAAACAGAAAAGAGGCACTGATGTGTATAGTATGCAAAGTCATGGAGGAAAGTGGTGGAGCACCTGGAACGGAAGAGTATAAACGCCAACCAGCACAGATTTATGGAAGGCAAATCCTGTGTCAGAAACATTCCGGAGTTTTATGATAAAGAACAGAGGTAAGACATGAGAGAGAGAGGGGTGGGTTGATTGCATCTTGGACTACAAGAAGACCTTCGACACAGTTCTGCATGAGAGATTTGTGCAGAAGCCAGAGGATCAGGCACGTATAACAGGAAGGGCACTGCAATGGATCAGAGAATACCTGACAGGGAGGCAACAACGAGTCATGGTATGTGATGAGGCATCACAGTGGGCGCCTGTGACGAGCGGGGTCCCACAGGGGTCGGTCCTAGGACCAGTGCTATTTTTGGTATATGTGAATGACATGATGGAAGGGATAGACTCAGAAGTGCCTCTGTTCGCAGATGATGTGAAGATAATGAGGAGAATCAAATCACATGAGGATCAGGCAGGACTTCAAAGAAACCTGGACGGGCTGGACACCTGGTCCAGCAACTGGATTCTCGAATTTAACCCCGCCAATTGCAAAGTCATGAAAATCGGGAAAGGGCAAAGAACACCGCAGACGGAGTATAGGCTAGGTGGCCAAAGACTGCAAACCTCGCTCAAGGAGAAAGATCTTGGGGTGAGTATAACACCAAGCACGTCTCCGGAAGCACACATCACCCAGATAACTGTTGCAGGATATGGGCGCCTGGCAAACCTGAGATTAGCGTTCCAGCATCTTAGTAAAGAATCGTTCAAGACACTGTACACCGTGTACTTCAGGCCCATACTGGAGTATGCAGCACCTGTTTGGAACCCACACTTGATCAAGCACATCAAGAAATTAGAGAAAGTGCTAAGAGGAATGTCCTACGAAGAAAGGTTAAGGGAAATCGGCCTGACGACACTGGACACGAGGGTTTGGGAAGACATGATAACGACATACAAAATACTGCGTGGAATAGACAAGGTAGACAGAGACAGGATGTTCCAGAGATGGGACACAGAAACAAGGCGTGACAATAGGAAGTTGAAGACCCAGATGAGTCAAAGGGATGTTAGGAAGTATTTCTTCAGTCACAGAGTAGTCAAGAAGTGGAAAAGCCTAGCAAGTGAGGTAGTGGAGGCAGGAACCATACATAGCTTTAAGATGAGGTATGATAAAGCTCATGGAGCAGGGAGAGAGAGGACTTAGTAGCACTCAGTAAAGAGGCGGGGCCAGGAGCTGAGTCTCGACCCCTGCAACCACAATTAGGCGAGTACTGGCTATTGGGTTATCCTAGGTTAATACAGCGCTGTATGACCCTGCTGGGTTTAGCGCTTGGCTTTATTATAATATCCTAGGTTAAAGTTGGCATAAATTACTACACTATAAAACCATTGTAAAAGAAGAAGACTGTCCACATTTACTTATCCAGTTGCTGGCCAAGATCAATGGTGCGTACGTTGGATTGGGTGCAGCCAGCAATAACAGCCTGGTTGATCAGACCCTGATCCACCATGAGGCCTGGTCACAGACCGGGCCGAGGGGGCGTTGACCCCCGGAACTCTCTCCAGGTAAACATAGAAGCGCTGTATGACCCTTGTGGGTTTAGCGCTTAATTTTGATTATAATAATCTACTCATCATAGGGTGGTTAGCATGGGCTACCACTGCGACCACAAATACAAGATTTTACAGAGTAATTTATGGTCATGCTATCCACCCTATGATGTATAAATTATTATAATCAAAAGTCAGCGCTAATGTATACACCATAGGGAGGTTAGCATGGGCCACTACTGTGACCAGAAATTAATCTGTAAAAACTTGTATTTGTGGTCACAGCTGTGGCCCATGTTAACCTCCTCATGGTGTATGTAAATATACCTAGTTGGATGAATGTTATTGTAGCCAACTGTCCCAGTGGTTAACGCACTGGCCTGGAGTTGTACGACTCCCTCACCATAGGTTCAAACCCCCATCCGTTCCATGGTTAGTTAAGGTTGATTTATGCCTGGCAGAGTGTGTGGGCCGCCAGAGAGGGCGCGGCCACCCCAGCTGCGCAGATATCACCACCAAACCAAAGTAGTATTTTACTTTATCCTTTTTTAGGGGGTAATGTCGCTTTTTTGCCTTATTTGTTAGAGAGAGAGAAACGTTAATTCCAGGAATCAGCGGAAGTGCCATAGCTCGAATTTGATTACCTTATATTTTTATGGAAATCGACATACAGGCACAAAGTAAAAAAAAGCTTCAGAAATATTTTTAGAATAGTTGGCTGTCTATTGGATAAATTTCAAGCCAATGTATATATTTTCTTTACAAGTACAGATATAAATAAATTCTATATACAATGTAAATAGAGATAAGATGAGCGTATATTTTTATGTTAATGTTAATTAAGATATTGTTTTTAACAGGTGTATGTATGTCCTCGTGAGATATACTCCACAACCCAATAGAATATAGATTTCTGGTGTTATTATATATATATATATATTAATATATATATATATATTTTATATATATATATATATAATATATATATAATATATATATATTATATATATATATATATATATATATATATAATATGAAAACCCCATATTCTTTATGTTCATAGTGTGTGTGTTTTGTTCTATATTTGAGACGCCATTTCGTAAGCTTATTTCATAAACCATACTATATTCTGGATGTTATTTTATATAATGGGGAGCGCTAAACCCTTAGGGATTATACAGTGCCTGTGGGGGGTATGGAAGGCATTCAGAGTCAATTCAAGGAACTGTAGCACAGATCTAATTCCCTAGATCAAGAGCCCCTCACCAGCATCAAGGAACCTGCCTTAAGGGGTGTTAATTTATAATATCCAAAAGACTGTTTGTTAGTTGACAATTTAAATAAGGCGCCTTTTTTAAGACATGTATTGTGACGCTTTTTGTTTACATGCGCATATTGTGACTTGCAACTGCCCGGGTAATTTACCATTCATATTGCTAAACTGCATCATTATTAAATTAAAGGCAAGGAATATACAGTGGGAGTTATATAAAAGGTATATTGTGTATTGTTGTGAGTGTAAGAGTAAGAGGGAAGTAGTTTTTGTTGCGGTATTATGGAGGTGTTACTGGTGCATCAGCTGATCCAGCAGACGACACTCAGTAAGAACTGAGACACAGTAGAGGTAGCTTCTCAGCCTCCACATTAAACAACTTTATTAAATCGCTAAAATAGTAGTTATCAGTTTGTGTAGAGCATTAAATATAGCAAGTTTGACCTTTGTAGACTTGATGGGAATCATGTCCCTTGATGGTTGAGAGTGTAGTTAGCGAGATAAGGGCGCGATATTCAGTATTGATCGAGGTAGTGTGTGTTGGTGAGGCAGAGTCGGCGGCCATGGTGGGGTTGTAAAGTGATTATCCACGCCCGTACACCCACACAGTATCCACGCCGTCATGGAGGTGGTAGGGGAGTACGAATATAGCACCAAGGACCTCATAGGTCACGGTGCCTTCGCCGTTGTGTTCAAAGGGCGACATAAACAGGTGAGTTTGTGGTTGTTGGAAGACCTGCGCGATGACTGCCGGTCCCGCCTCCCTTGTGTTCTTTATGACCTGTCTACAGGCACGCTGTTATAATATACTTGACCACCTCTATCTCACCCAGTATCTCCTCCACCAGTGTCACAACACAGTGTTAGTGCTAACAAGTTATCTGACTGCTAATATGTGGGTGTTGCAGCCTCTGCATGATGTCCATGACAGCGCATGGTGCAAGGTACTCACTACTTGCAACATATGTTCATTATTATAGTCTATAATTACAGTTTAACCACATGACTTCCCTCTACAACCATCACTTTAACTTCAACCACAAGAAAATACGACTAATATGTACAGCATTCTCACTTCTTTGCTAATGGCTCATTATGGATTTTATGTATTGCTTTGACATACACATTATTATTATAAAAAAAAGAAGCGCTAAACCACAAGGGTTATATGACCTATACATGATAAAGACGTAGTGGAAATTTGAATTGCCACAGCAACTCAGGTTGATGATTTGACGTAATTGTTGACATCATTGTTTTCATGGGTAAGTGCTAAACCCGCGAGAGTCGTATAGTAATATGGGGAAAAAATCTTGTTTGATCTGAGGAGGGGGGAGGTAGTTCCAATTTCTCGTATCGTAAATGCTTCACCAGAATCAAGGCCACCCCCTCCCCTCCCCTCCCCTCCCCTCTCCCCTCCCCTCCCCTCTCCCCTCCCTCCTGCTTGAAGGGTCACTGTTTACAAATTGAGGTTGTTGGCAAATAAGTTAAATTTGATTGTTTTTAGTTATTGCATAACCCTTGTGAGTTTAGCACTTAGTTTTGATTTAAATAATATAATTATATCTAAGAAGTTCTCGAACATTTGTATAAATGACTGTTGTTGAAAATCCAGGTATACTCATAATAATTTTTACATAATCGTAATTATATGCATATTTTTCAATTTAAATATCAGTAATTACAATAATATTCTTATAAAAAAAACTCAAAAGTGATGCAGATTTTGCAAGAGGTCCATAGTATGCTCAACATTTCTGGCAGAATAGAACTACTTACCGGTATTAATATAAGAGGTGGTTTCTAAAGCTGTTTAAACTTAGGAGTTAAGCACAGGGTATAGACAGCTAAGATCTAGTTGCAGCTTACAAGTGAACGGAATTGGTAAAATTATTTTTGCATACATCAAAATTAGTATTAAGATACCATTTCAGTATTCATTAAGATAGCCTGGATAAAAGTAGAATAAAAATAGTAGCAAAAATAAGTGTTATAAAGAATTGAAGAAATGCAAGGGTTGTATATGTTGTAATTAATAAGATGGTTTATGTAATAACTATAGTACAGTAATTAAATTTATTGCCAAGTCTTTTACTAATATGCAATCCCTTCTGTTTATGACTTACCTTAATAAAGAACTACCCAATAACAATGTACACCAAAGAGGAATATGATGTTAGGTAAGAAGGGCACGTGCTTTTAATGTGACTTTTTATTGTGGCAATAGTTTGCTCTTAAGGAGCTTTGTCAAGCCATTACTAACAACACAGGGACATAAGATGTATATATAGGTAACAGTGCGAGGTGAAAAAACATAGTATACTGCAGTGCTTAACTGGCCAGTGCCTATGACGTAGATTGTTTTGAGAACTCTTGATAGTACTTATGATAAAGCTACATTTATTCTGTTTGTGTCTGAAATGACAAGAGTTTTCAGAACAATAAATCCCACCACCACATAGTAACCAAGAGTTACCTCCACTGTTGCTCCTACTACTATCACTACAGGCAACATAGGCCAGTATATATCTATACCTTCTGTGCATGGAGAAAACCCGGGCCAGGACCCATCCTGGCGAACCTAGCCATACTTCTTATATTGTTTGTAATGGTTTGACAGACCTCCTGGAGGGTAAAACGTTATCACACGTGTTCTTTTACCTAGTATAGTCAAAAAGTCTACCAACTTTATTACAGCAGGGATGTAATGATTGACAGGTCAGTTAAGATTTGTTTGCATAAATGATTAGTACTGTACATGCATTCTTTTGTGCAAGAATGGTATATAATACCGACAAGATGAAATTAAGACACACATGCAACATCTGGGTATCTTTATTGTAGACGTTTCGCCATCCAGTGGCTTTATCAATACAAATTCCAGGACATAACTTGAAGACAGTAGGGCTATATACAGAAGATGAGGTAATCAGTCCCTCAACCTAGCAGTAGGTGCGAAGAGCACCATAGTCGTGGAGATTCATCTGCTATACCTGACCTGACGTTAGTATATAAGCGCCAGGCTCCTTGCTTCTGCTTCAGAATCTCCACGACTATGGTGCTCTTCGCACCTACTGCTTTGTTGAGGGACTGATTACCTCATCTTCTGTATATAGTCCTACTGTCTTCAGTTATGTCCTGGAATTTGTATTGATAAAGCCACTGGATGGCGAAACGTCTACAATAAAGATACCCAGATGTTGCATATGTGTCTTAATTTCATGCATTCTTTTGTTGCATAGGTTTTTTTTCACAATTAGTTCCTTCTAGTGGGATGCCTTGGTGCTAGGAAAAAAGCTCTTAATCGACTCAAACCCGATTACCTCCCATTTCCCAATCATGCTGTATAAACCTTTTGGGGTTTAGCACTTTTACTAGTATATTGTATATTTTTCATAGACGGTATTGTTATTACACTGTGGAGAATTATGTGCTCAAGAGATCCTCCACTCTACTTATATAAAGATCAGGCAGGCTCAAGAGTATCACCGGGATGCAGCTGCATGCCTCCCTTTAAGAATGGGCCTAGTTACCCATGCTAGGTTTATATACCCATCCAACCTATGTTTAAAGCTGCCCAATTGTTCTATCTAGGCTGGAATATTGCTGCACACTAACAGCACCTTTCAAGGCAGGTGAAATTGCTGACCTAGAAAATGTACAGAGAACCTTCACGGGGCGCATAACGGAGATAAAACACCTCAATTACTGGGAGCGCTTGAGGTTCCTGAACCTGTATTCCCTGGAACGCAGGCGGGAGAGATACATGATTATATACACCTGGAAAATCCTAGAGGGACTAGTACCGAACTTGCACACGAAAATCACTCACTACGAAAGCAAAAGACTTGGCAGACGATGCAACATCCCCCCAATGAAAAGCAGGGGTGTCACTAGCACGTTAAGAGACCATACAATAAATGTCAGGGGCCCGAGACTGTTCAACTGCCTCCCAGCATACATAAGGGGGATTACCAACAGACCCCTGGCAGTCTTCAAGCTGCCACTGGACAAGCACCTAAAGTCGGTTCCTGACCAGCCGGGCTGTGGCTCGTACGTTGGTTTGCGTGCAGCCAGCAGCAACAGCCTGGTTGATCAGGCTCTGATCCACCAGGAGGCCTGGTCACAGACCGGGCCACGGGGGCGTTGACCCCCGGAACTCTCTCCAGGTAAACTCCAGGTAATGATGCTATCTGGGTGTTTGCTCTCATCTACAGATCTATAGCCACACCTCTCTTCAAGGGGGGCTCCTTGGCGTGGTGAAGAGGCTCTTGGTCTGAGGAATTAGACCTGTCGGTCTACTTCCTCAGACCGAACCTAATTACCCCCCAATCCCCCGTTCCCTATCCCATCCTCCCCTTTTTCCTTTCCTCCTCCTCCTCCCCACCCCTCCCTTTTGCCCTTCCTTTTTGGCCTTTTCTTTTTTCCCACAGGCACGCTAGTTCCTAGGTAGGGGAAAGGGTACCGGGGTCCATCCCATTCCGTTGAGGTTCTTGGCGGTGGCGTAGTTTGCCGTGGAATCTGGATTGCCTGGGGATTTCCTGATCCCTCTCCGGTATCCCGGAGGGTGGCTTTGGGTGTCTCTCGGGCGACGGGTATATCTCTGGAAGCCACCTTTCGGATTCCCCGGGTGGTGGCCGAAGGAGGTATGCTTTGTGGCAGATTTCCGGCCGCCCTCTCTTTTGTCCACCGAGGTAGCTCGGCAGATGTGAGGTTGCTATCCTGGATTGCCGGTTTACTGGCATGATGGGTAGGGTATGGCACGGGTTCCATGCTGCATCTGCGCTACTTGTGGTGCTGAGGTCCTCTTGGGAGCGGAGGGAGATTTCTGACCCTTTCATTCCTCCTAGGAACAATCCCTCCCCGGTCCCCCCTTCTTTTATTCTTTTTTTTATTTTATTTTATTTTCTTTTTTTTTCTTAAAAACAAAAAGAAAGAAGTAACCTAACCATGGCAGCCCTAGTCCATGAACCTGCTACCCCCGGGCCCCTTCTTGATACAGCACCCGTTCTGACCCCGCCTCGTCTTTGGTCCACTCTTCGGACACTCCTCATGCCTCTGTACCTCTTGCCGGTGCTGTTTCCTCACCCGCTTCAGGTACTGAGGCCTCGACTGACTCATTTGATTTCTGACCTTCGCTCTCCTCTGACTATGCTTCTGGACTCTCCCTCTACGGTGCGGGCGGCAATTTTCGAATCGCCGGCCCGTTCCACGTCGGACCAACTCTGGTCCCACGCCTAAACGCCAACGACAATTACCTGCTGATGATACTTCTCCACCTTCTCGTTCTTCTCAGAAAAGATCGACATGTCCTTCACTACCTTTCCACGCTCGGTTTCAGACTGCACAATGGACTAAATTCTTCACTTTACGACCGACTTCCTCTACTGCCTATCTTTCTGACCACAGTATTGGCAAGGCACTCCTACGCCATGTTGGTAAAGATATTTCTTTCATGCTCTTAGAGCGGTACGCGCATCATCACCGTACAGAATGCTACCCAGGCTCATGAGCTTTCTCGTCTTTCCCATATCGATACTGTTCCTGTCACTATTGAAAAGAATCATTCCCTCAATTCTTGTAGTGGTACCATCATTCTGCCCCATACCATAGTTCAACAAAATTTCCAGACATGTGGCACTGACATTCTTGAACAGCTGGAACTCCAAACTCTCCCAATCCTCAAGGTAGACACTTACGTTCTTCCTGCCC